GTCCATTCTTGGTCTTGCGTCTTGCAGACTTAGAGTGCGACCCTCTCAACCCCACCTTTTAGTGTCGTCTTTCTTTTCTCCGTCCTGCAGCACAGGTTTCTGGACCTGCTCGTTGTCGGCTGGCTCCGACAATCTAGCAGGGCCAGTTTCAGACCCTAAGAAAGAGATCCGTGTTGAGCCATGGAGACTTTAAGCTGCATTACTGGCAAGCACCAGCACAGGGGCTGGGCTCCGAACTATGGGGTTACAGCAACAGAAAACGGAACCTGTGGCCTCTGGTCCTGACCGGTCACCTCAGCGCTCCTCCAAAACTGATGGACTTGATCACCAGGCTGGAGCTCTACAGGAAGCCGACTCCCTCTCCGGGAGACTGGCCCGCAGAGAATCAGCTGTCCCTACCGCTCAGCCTAGGAAACAGGCTCCGTGGCTGGCACATGGTTGGTTGAATGCGTGTGGTCGTTGAGGCAATGTGTCTAGTCCCTTCAAAATGCAGAACGTGTGCTTGTTCTCAGATTAAGTAATGGATTCCACAGGTGTTTACTGAGTGTCCGCTCTGCCAGGGTCTCTTCTAGGCACCTGAGATACACCTGTTAACAAAATGCTCAAAGGTATCAGAGTCCATGGAGATTCCATTCTAACAAGCATTAAGCATAATAAGTAAATTGCATAGTCTATTAGAAGATAAGTCCATAGAGATGAGAATCTAGCAACACAAAGGGGACAGAGAGTGCTGGGTGGGGCCACGGGAAAGGGGTTCCCCTTGCAGTTTTAGGGGAAGTAGGTAGTCTCACTGAGAGGAGGACATTTGAGCCAACACTTGAAGAAGATGAAGGAGTGAACCTTGACGATATCTGGGGCAAGAGCTTTTCAGGCAGAGGACAGAGTCCAGTCCTAAGTTAGGAAATGCCCAGCATGTCCAAGGACTGGGTGAAATGAAGAGCCACAGGAGGGTTTTGGGAAAGGAATGATATGATCTGACTTCCATTTAAAAGTCTCATTCTGGCTGCTGTGTTGAGAATAGACTTATGGGTGGTCAAGATGAAAGCAGAGATTGCTGTGTTAACATCAGAGCCCAAAAGTTGTCCAAAAGGTACAAGCATCCAGTTAGAAGATTAATAAGTTCTGGGGATGTAATGTACAGTATGGTGACTATCAATACAAAATTTAAATAAAATTTTATAAAATTAGAACCAGTGATGTCAGATGTTCCTCTGAGCTCAGAATTTTTTCTTCCACAGGAAAAGCCCATACAGGAGTGACTGTTGTCTCGACTCCTGCTGATAGAGAGATGGAGACACACCAGATCGCTTTGTTGGAAATCCTCTGACTGCAGATGATCTGTGAGTTTGGGGGAAAATGATAGACAGAAGTCCTGATTTCAGACACATGAATGTTTGTTATGAAGGAATCTTCCCCAAAGCAAATGCTAGAGCTTTCTTCTGTTGCGTAGGACTCCCTACTCAAAGTGGGGCATGTCAAGGACTTTAGAAAATGGCCCTGCAGTGATGAGGATAGTGTGAAACTTAGAGCAGGAGGGAAATGAAAATCCAACATGCTTCAGTGACTAACTGTGTGATAAGGATCTCTGCCATCTTGTTATTCTGAACTGGGTTGAGTGATCAACAAATGGAGAAGAATGCTCAGTCTTTGAGCTTCCAGGAAATACAGGTCTTTGCAAGGCCCAGTGCAAAATGAAAATGTAAGACTTCTTCAAAACGTATTAAGAATTTCAAGATGGCAACAGCAGAGCATTAAACTAAGCATGGGGACTTCTGAGCTTGTGGTCCTATGAGACTGCACAGAATTTACTCCCAGGAAGCTGGCCCTGGTCTTTAGCTTGAACTGCCATCACTCAAACATATTGTCCAGACATAGGTGTCCTGACAGGAGCATGGGAAAGACCTTGCGTTAACTAGACAAGAGTTTACCCGTGGGAAGAAGAGGGTGAGGGCAAATTAACTGTGCTATTTCATGAGACATATCACCTCTCCACCTACATCCCAGCTGGTGAGATGCCCTGTTCTCTTGGCATCTGAAGACTGAATATAAACCCTTTAATGATGATCCCAGCAGTGACAGAGTCCCAGGTACCAAGAGAGACCTAGCTGCAGAGAAAAACAAATATATAAAGAAATTATTAGCCAAACCAAATAAAAGGCTGGGTTTTTACCATGAGCTCTTTACAACTTCAGAATGAGAAGCATTCATTGCCTTTTCATAGTTGCTGTCTACATAGGTGTTGGAAGGGGTCACCCAGAGAACATGACTGCTGGTTGACCAGCAAACTGGACCCTGGGGCAATTGAGGTTCCTCACCCCCTCCCCTGACCTTAGAATGTATGTTCTATTCACCAGTCCACACTAGGAGCCATTTTTAAGGTCACAGCCTTGAGAGACCTATGTGGTGTTGAGACCATCTAGATGTGGCTAAACCCAGTCAAGACCTCCATATAAACTTACAAGACTCTAGCAAGTGGGTGCAGAGATCTACTTGCCCCACAGCTGCCCAGGACAAACTTTATAAGTAAATCTCCTTGCTTATTAAAACTGCCACCTACCAATCTGGAATGGTCCACCTCTTTCATTGGCCTCTCCTTTCTTCTTTCTTCTTCCTCTTTGGCAGAATTTCAAATTTGTCTCTCCTGATGATATTTCACAGTTCTTCGTCATAGGAGAGGCTGTGACATCATCAAAACTCATTTAGCAAAGCCACCTGGAGGTTTGTGCTGAAAGTTCTAGATGCCTTCTTTTCCAAAGCCAGGAATGAAGGTGTAAAGGAGCAACCCTTAGAAGGGTGTATGTTCTCATTAAACTCCCAGGCTCTGAAATCAAATACTTCATTCACTCATCGATTGATTCGATCATTTATTTAACAAATACTGAACTCCTACTATTTGATAGACTTGTTGGTGTCCAAAGCCTAGTAGTAAATATCTACTGAATAAGTTATGATTCAGGCAATGGAGACACAGACCTGGTGTTGAATCCCAGCTTCACCACTTTGGAGCAGTGCGTGACCTTGGACAATTTACTTAGCCTCTCTGATCATCAGTTCTGTCGTCTGTAAAATGGGGCTAATAACAGAATTAACACTTTTCATTGTCATATGGATTAATTAATGTATACGAAGCCTCTGCTTTGATGCCCGGCACTTCATACACCTCAATAAACATTACCTACCAACATCATCACCGTCATTATTAATTCCTGTTGGTTTAACTAGACACAGAAAGGGCAGTATGTGCCTCACAAACCAGAGTTTCCCTCTCTTCTAGTCACTAATTCAACACGAATTATGAGAAATGTTCAAAGCCCACTCCCTAGCCCAAGGCAGGGTCCACTCTGTTTTATTTTGTCGTTGTTTCTTTCTTCAGTGCAAGTGTCTGTGTGTCCTGGCATATCTAAGATAAGAAAGATTCCCGCAAGAAATCACAGTACTTGTGTGGACCACGAAGGACGCAGGAGGTTTAGTGATTTGGGAGTTTTCACATCTGAAGAAGGAAACACTACTAAAAAGCACAGGTTCCCCAGGCCCAAAAGGAGGATGTGCCAGCCCTGCTGCACACCGGCAGCCTCAGCCCTCACATATGTCATGTGGTCCTTCCGGGGCAGAGCAGCAGACTAAAGGAGAAGCTGAGTACAGGGCTGAGGGCCCAGGGAGGGCTGGCTGGGAGCAGTTTCTTTCTCCCCTCGGGACAGAGCCCTGTAGCATGGGGGCATTTCTGGGAAGATGGACAAACTTCATGATGTGCTGTCCCAGAATTAAGAAGAATTGTGAGACTGTCTCTT